TTTATGCCTTGTATTCAAACTCATGTCGTTACGAGATCATGCCAAAATGAAGGAAGGGCTTAGCCTTAACATACCTGAGCCGATTCTCTTGACAATTCCTTTAGAACCCGTTGATTGTGACAACACGTAACAGCGGATCAAAGTAGGGGAAAATCCGTATGATATTCTTGAGATAGATTGCACCGTACTCCCTTAAAATCGCAAAATCCCATTGCTATTACCTTATGAAATCTCGTATGAAGTTTGTTGCAATTCCGTATGATCACTTTGTGAATTTAATCATAACCTTGTATGATATTTTTTGAAGCCATCACGTTCTGATTATGGATTTGTGAATTCCATCCATAAGCTTAGCAAGCTTATACATCTTTCTTAATTGTTTTTATCAAATGGGTGATGACTTGGCCACCAATCTCATTAATTGTGCCACCTAGCTTTATAGAGTAAGAGTCACTCATTTGAGCATTAATTCTCATCTAATTTGCTGCCACGTTTTGGGGAGGGGAGGGGGGGTAGCTTATCCAAAGAATTGTAATTAATTACCTACTAAGTTTTAATTAACTTGCTAATTCCCCCATTAACCAATAATCAACATAATTAAGAATTATCTCAATTTACTTAAAATACTACTCACTTTTAACACACTTTATACACCTCACTATCATGGTCATGTGGTACCTTGTATGGCACTAGTCCATAAATACACCTCGGTTCTTGCCACTCGAGTATTCGGATGGCTCTGTATGAGGCCCTGTATGGGAATAGGTGTCAGTCTTTGGTGGGTTGGTTTGAATATACTTGATCCACCCTTATCTCGCCACATGTGCATCACAATAAAATTCCTCCCTTATGTTAACACATGCGCATCTCGCCACCCTTATACTCCACACAACATCAATCAACCCACACATCATGTCCACATGTTCCACAATATCACAAAACAACAAAATCAATACTCATGTCAAAATATAGTCTCACAACTCAAAAATAATGTGCACAAGGACAATACAATAACATAAGAGTGTGGAGAGTATTCAAAAATAAAACATGTTTCATATAGCAAACACCCCCAATTCAAGGCATATTAATAACCTAAGGTCTAATCTAGCCATAAATCACACACGCCCATGTACACAATCGGCACCTCGTGTACACGTAACTCACATAACACCATATGCAATTACGAGCAAATCCTAAGTTATAATTCCTACACCCAAGGTTAGGGAAGATACTTACCTCAATTTAGCCAAATCCATACTCCGAATATGCTTTTCCTTTAAAAAGCATCTCTGTTCGGCTAAAATCTAGCCAAAAGCGACTCAACAATATCAAATAATCCAAAAGTAATCAATTTCGATTAATAAAATTTCAATCTTTACTAAATTCCTAAAAAATAAACAAAAGTCACCCCAGGCCCCGCAGGTCAAAGCCTGAGTTTAGGGGTAGATGTCGACTAAGCATTACCCCTCTAGCCCAAATATATGTTCAGTTTTCAAAAGCAAGTCCAAATCTGTCACGCCACGAACTCGAGGAGCGTGCCCGGCGCTCAACCGAGTGAACCCGGCCGAGCAAGCCTGTTAGATTTCCTTCTACCCAAACTCAACCATGAATAAAGAGGAGATGCACTACATTAATCAAACACTAAAAAAATTTCATTAACAACTCCCATTTCGTTTCCATTAGAAGCTTCATTCGTAATTTCCAAAATATTACAAGTTTATAGATATAATGAAAACATGTTTGCCAAATACCAACACTTCTAGTTTAATTCCCAATATCAAACACCACCCACAACATGTCTACATAGCCTCTAAGTACAACAAAAGAGCAATATGGAAATGCCGGCAAGAAGGCCGTGGCTATACCTCAAAATACAAATTACAACATCAAATGACATCAGGCCCAGAAAAGAGTAGGTCTCACCAAAACATTATGAATAGACAGTAACGGCTAATGAGGACCAAAGTTGCCCGCTGATGAACCACCTTCACCCATTGAAGATTCAGCGCCGCCAATAAAAGGGACGTTAGTACTATCATGGGCGACTTTCCAGCCATGCTCCATGACCTCTTGGACGTGGCCCGTGGTGTCCTGGCAAGCCTCCCAATGCCCAGCACCACGACCGGCCCCGTGGTCTCGGCAGTTCCAAGTGACAAGCGCGCATGTGCCTCTGTCACCCCACCGCTAGCCATCGCCAGCGCCCAGCCACAGGCAGATGCCAACATCACCGCACGCATAGACAATGCCGTGCGTGCAGATCCTGATGCTAAAGATAAAGTTGTTGCCAACGGACTTGTTTCTACATTGTAGAAGCCCAAGTCCTTTTTATTGTAGATATATAGTGGTTTTAATGAATATTTTTTAAGTGTGCTTCTACAGCTTATTTAGGTCAAGTTATGTAACTTTGATTTATTTTTTTTAAGCATTATTAAGGGGGATCAAGCAATCAAACTTTCTAGAAAACAAATAATTCTCTGTACTAGTGTCTCTCCCCCCGACATCATGTTGCTTTCTGTAATAGCTTTCATTAATGCAATCAAGCTTTCTTTCATTCTCAATTCTCTTTTCTGCTCTCTTATTTGCTCATGACATTGGTTTTCCCGTATGGCACTGACAATCTACTCTAGCATACGGAGGGGACCTCAGTTGGCGGACAACAATCGCACTGACATTGATTGCTTAGCCTTCCGTCACCCTTCCAAAGAATCTCACGTAGGCGCCGCGTAACAGTTGGTATCAGAGCCTAGGCTCGACATTGGACGACGGATTACATTACAATTACCACCATTTCTGACCATGGTGAATCATGGGGATCGCATCGCTATCCTTGAATAGACGGTTGATGTATTACGGCCCATCATGGAAATAGTGCCTGACCTAAAGACCAGCCTAGTGCAAAGGTTGGATGACCTGGACCGCAGAATGCTCCAGGCCAAAGTTGACATAGAAAACATCAGTCACGACTCTGAAGGAGACCGGCAAATAATTGCCATAGAGGGAGCCAGAATTTTTGGTAAATTCGAGGTCCTCCAACAGGAGCGTGCTGAGGATTTAGCCCACAGGGCATAAGAGGCAGACAGGGTGACTTCCATGCAACAAACTATAGATAACTTGATAGGCCAGCTCAACATTGTCAATGCTGCTTTACAAGGCCTGCTTCGAGGAGGCAAAAACCAAATTGGAGGTGTTGTGAACCTCACCCCTGTGGCACAAAAACTGAAAATTCCTAAGCCAAAGCCATACAGTGGAGCTCAGAATTCGAAAGAAGTGGAAAACTTCATTTTAGACATTGAACAATACTTCGATGTCTTAGGGGGGCTAGAAGATACTAAGAAGGTAGAAACTACTGCCATGTATCTTTAGGGTGATCCCAAGCTCTAGTGGCGGGTGAAATACAAAGCCATCAACGCCGGTGAAGATGCTCTCGCGACATGGTCAGAACTGAAGGGAGCCATAGGTCTATAATTCTTCCCCGAAAATGTTGAGTACAATGCAAGGTGAAAGCTACGGGAGCTCCGCCAAACCAAATAGTGCGGGATTACGTGCGGGCATTCTCTGCACTCATACTAAACATACACGACATGGGGGACAAAGACAAACTCTTCACCTTCCTAGAAGGGTTGAAACCTTATGCCCACATGGAGTTGCAAAGACAAAGGGTAGACACATTACCTAAGGTGATTCAAGCAGCAGAGTTCCTTGGGGATTATCAAGTAGAAGCCCAGAAGGACAGGCCTCAACAGCCTGTCCCAGAAGGATACAAAGGGCGCCAGCCGAACACTGGTCGTCCTAGCAGAAGTGGAGGAGACCAGAGTGCAACCAAATCTAAGGCTCCCTCCTTAGGTAGTACTAGCACTGCATCTAACAACAACGATTAGGGGAGAAAACCCCCCTCAATTTGTCGTCATTGCGGCACACCACATTGGAATATTGAATGCCCACATGCACAGATGAACGCCCATCAAGCTATTTATGATGGAACGGATAATGAAACAGATGATGCGGACCAGAATAATCCAGTAGGTGTATTCAATGCAATTATTGGCTCTATTTTTGAGTCCTTCACGGGAACCAATGCTGGTATCCATAAGAAGAAGGACCCTTGCCCAATCGCCAAGAAAGGGGAAAAGAAGGCGAATGAGAGGACTCATCTTAATTAAAAGAGGAACTTAATGTTCGTCGACATAAAGATAAAATGGAAGCCCATTCGGGCGATGATAGACACAGGTGGAGCACCTCAGCCTAGTTGTAGGAAAGGGCACAGGCCATGTGATGGCTATCAACTCACCCCTTCAGCCAGTGGGTGGAATAGCCAAAGAAGTACCAGTGAAGCTTGGCCCTTATGAAGGAAAATTCAACCTTCGCGTGGTGATCATAGATGACTTCGAGTTGATAGTGGGGTTGGGATTCCTGAGGCAAAACTACACCATGCCCGTACCGTATGCAGACATGCTAATGATGATGCGAACAAATGGGGCCAAGCCTTGCATTATCCCGTGCATGCCCATAAAGATGGCCGCTGAGAACATCTCGGCCTTGCAGTTGAAGAAGGGGGTCAAAAGACATGAACCTACGTTGATGGCTACCCTCTGAATTGAAGATATAGAACGCTCCTCGCGTCCCATGAAGGAGCTGCTACTGGAATTTGAAGACATCATGCCACAAGACATGCCAAAGCATCTCCCGCTAGGCAAACTGTGGACCATGAGATTGAGTTGGTGTCGGGTGCAAAGCCACCTGCCTGGGGACCGTAAAGAATATCACAACCACAACTCACTGAACTTCGGAGACAATTGACGGAAATGCTAGACACGGGTATCATCGTACCCTCAAAATCCCCATACCATGTGCTATTGCAAAAGAAACATGATGGAAGTTTATGACTCTGTGTGGATTATCGGGCTCTAAACAAAATCACCATGAAGAACACGTACCCTATTCTTTTAATGGAAGACTTGTTTAATAGACTGGGCGGTGCGACGGTGTTATTCAAAATAGACATGAGGACATGTTATTGGCAAGTTCAGATTGCAAAGGGTGATGAACACAAGACGACCTGCATGACAAGATATGGGTCGTACGACTTCCTGGTTATGCTATTAAGTTTGACTAATGCACCAGCCACATTTTGCACCCTGATGAACCAAGTCTTCCAAGAATACATTCACGAATTCGTGGTGGTCTACTTGGATGACATTGTGGTAAATAGCCAGACATTAGAAGAACACCTGGAGCACTTGCGGAAGGTCCTAGCCCAATTGTGGGAGCACGAATTATATGCGAAGCTATCTAAGTGCTCCTTTGCTCAGAAACAAATTGATTTCCTCGGATATGTCATCAAGGAATGCGGGATCAAGATAGACCAACAGAAGATTCAGGCCATCACATATTGGTCGCCGCCTAAGGATATCCACACCTTGAGGTCGTTCCTTGGCCTATGCAACTTGTATCGACCATTTATGAAGAATCATTTCCTCATTGGAGTGCCACTGACAGAACTGCTCAAGATGGCCACACCCTGGGATTGGGGACCCAGACGAGCAGAGGCCTTCAACGCATTGAAAAAGGCTATGTCTAGTAGCCCCGTCATGGCCCTCCCTGATTTGGCCAAGCCATTCAAGGTACGAACGGATGCCTTTGACTATGCCCTTGCTGGAGTCTTGCTACAAGATGGGCATCCCATACCGTAGGAGAGCCGAAAACTGCAGGATACAGAGCGGCGCTATGCTAGCCACAAGAAAGAATTATTGGTTGTCGTTTATTGATTACGCCTTTGGAGGCATTATCTACTGGGAGCCCCATTCGTGGTTAAGACAGACAACATAATTGTTAGACATTTCATGACCCGGCCAAAGTTGAATGGTCTACAGGCCAGGTGGCAGGAACTCCTAGCGGAATTTCACTTCAACCTGGAGTACCGAAGTGGGAAGACTAATCATGTTGCTGATGCGCTCAGTCGGTGGACTGATCTAGCCTCAGTGTGCCTACTCTCCACCCTAAAGGGAGCCAAGTAACCACCACCATAAAAGACAAGATACAGGACCTACTCATCAAGGATCCTGATGCACAGTATTCGATTGATTTGGTAGGATAGGGCAAGACTCGCCAGTTCTACATAAAAGATCGTTTCCCAAAAATGAAAGGGAACCGAATTTATGTTCTTAAAGGAGGAGATCTACGAAGGGAACTTCTGGCGGAATGGCATGATACTTTGTGGGCCGGTCATCGCAGTGAAGAACGCACCATGGCATTGCTTCGTTGTGCATATTATTAGCCTCAACTGGCCGATGACGTCACTCAATTTGTGAAGACTTGTCTAGTATGCCAGAAGGATAAGTCGGACCGCTTGACGCAAGCAAAACTCTTAGAACTACTAGCTGTCCCAAAAAGACCTTGGGAAAGCATTTCCCTAGACTTCATCACCGGATTGCCCAAGGCCGGAGATCTCACAACCATTCTTTAAAGCCAGCTTGATGAATAACTCTTCATTTTTCCATAAAGGATTGTCACATTTGGTTAAGAATTCAATGTGAGATTCTACATAGGAGTGTTGTGTGATTTGTGAATGCTATCCCATTGGCTTTGATCTGGAGTTTGTCCTGCAAAATCATGTAAATGTCAAAATCAATAACCAAATCCTTACCTGGGACATGTGACCTAATGAATTCTATCTTGTACTTTTGTCCTGGGAAGAATTCAATGGTGATCGAGTGCTTGGTAATAACGGTTGTGGTCAGAATTCCATTAGAGGCAGTGTCAAAATTCTTGAAGTATGACACCCACTACTCATCTGGAATGACTGCATGATAATGTGTGAGGACTATGCTCCCGTGTAAAATAAAAGCTATGACATCTGTTGGTTTATCCCACTTGGATGCATAGACTTTGAATTTTACTTGCGGGATCACCCTGATGTTGTGGATCTCTTCCCATGTATTGGTTTGTACCACTTTGATGCATATACTTTGATTTCTGCTTGCGAGATCACCATGATGCTATGGATCTTTTCTTTCACATGTGCCTTTGGTTATGAAATTAAGTAATGATCATCACCATATTCCTCATAAAAATTCAAGGAAAAGAGCATCTCTTCTATGGGCTCATCTTCAAGTGAGAAAAGAAATTCAAGATAGTCATCATCACTAAAATGAACGCTTGTGTAATCTGTAATTTCAAAGAGAATTCTAATAGTCTGTTTGGACTGCGGGCAGTTTCACGCAAAATTTCCTATTTTGTTACAAATAAAACATGCTCTATTTCTCCTTGCACTGCCCGACCTTCTCCTTCTTAAGTATTTTATTTTCCTTCTTAAACTAGAAATGTCGCCTGAGAATTTAGGTAACCCAAATCTTTTGAACTTCTTCCTTGGTGCCTGGCATGAGCAATGTTTCTTTCTTGTGATTAAAATCTGACCTAGCACAAGCTCTATCAAGTGATGGATCATTCTTCATTATTTGTTTTGTTGTGGCAGAATCATATCTCCGTTCTGGAATGGGCTTATCAGTCTTCCTATCTTGATCGTCGTCAACTTTGGAGACATCTGGCTCCCTGGGCTGATTCATGAAAATAGAAGAAAGTTCTTCTTATGAGGAATATTGGCAGGAATCAGTACTTACCTTAGAACTATCCTCATGTACTACCCTTATTTAATTACATAGTACAACTGGTGTAAAACAAGTACAGCTAACATAAAAGTTTTACAATGTAAGACCCTTATTTGGCTAATAGACAAAACATAAAAGCATGATAAAGAACTAGAAAACAAATTGCATGGCCTTATATTTTAGAATTAGTTTTGAGAAGACATGGATGTTGGCAAAGTAACCCATGAATAGTATTTGCCTGGCATTGATTTTGTATAAATTTATTGCTTGACATGGATGACTTTTCTTTTATGACATAAGGGGCCCTTGAATAGTATTTGGATTGCATAGAACTTGGGGAAATTTATGGCTTGACATGGATAGGAATATTAATCGATATACTTGGATTTTATGGATTAAAGTGGCTAAAAAGTGAAAAACTTGTGCAGAGTGTTTTTTTCTCATAGTAATTTCTTGTGGGGTAGAGTGGTGAAAAGGATAAAAAAGGTGTGCATACTTTTATTTATTCAAACGGGTACTTACCTAGGGGGTTAAGAGGTGAAAATAATTTTAGACACGTGCAGTTTTTAGTTTAGAAAAAAGGGGGATTATGGAAGGGAAGTTGGCTAAAAAGGTTTAGAAGACTTACGCAAATTATTTCTTGGCTCATGATTATGCATTACGCTAGTCTTTTAACCCTTCTAGCCTTCACTCTTCAGCTCTTGTGAAATTTTAATTTGTGTGCTAATGATATTCTTCTATATTTCCTGTTCTTTTAACTTTCTTCTTCAGCGACGAAGCACCGATATTCCCCATTTAAATTGATCTTAGCAATTTTTGCTGGATAAATGCCATAGGTGTCTGGTGAGTCTTCAAGCATTTCGTTTTATCCCATAAGTGATGTCTTAACATTTTTCCAATGGAGGTGGGTGGATGAATAATTCAAACTTCCTTCCTCACCTGGCCATATCTCCTCTCGAAGGCTCTTATTTTGCTGAAAAATGAGCCTATGAGATCCAGCGTGCTCCTTTTCCATTCCTATGACTGTGACTGGATAATGAAACAAAAAGGACATCGTAGGCATCACTTTTATAGTTCTTTTGATCACACTAAATGGCATGTGGAACATAAATATTTTGACTCCACAAGAATGAAAATGATGAACCTAATATTTTTGAGGCTTGAACCACAACAAAAATATTTTTAGGAAAGGTTCGAGATTGTTAAAGTCTCAAAAATCAATATGCTCACAATATGTGCCAAAATCTGAAAGCATCTAATTTCAATCTTTCACGAGTGAAACCACATAGCTAGGACATCTTAATATTGGGGTGAAATCATATATTGGCTAGAGAAAATGAACAATTTGCTATGAGCTAGACATGTTTCTACCATAATAACTCTCAAGCTGCCATACCAAGCCACTTCATGGGAAACTACAATACTAGGAACAAAGTGAGCCACTTACTACAGAATGATCTAAGTGGACATGAAATTCATATAGAGATGGGCCAACAAATAGATCTTCCTATGACGAATTTGTGAAAATCTCAAATTTCCCAGAAACGTTTTTGCGGACAAGTCACCCCTTTCAATTGACATGTACACATATGATAGGCACTGAGATATGCTATAATGTTACTACACAGTGAAAAGGATTCATGATAATATTCACAAAGGAGTAAAGTGATTGCTTAAACCATAGGAGCCACATACACCGGAGAGAAAAATAATGGCTCAAGAAGAATCTCAACACTAGGCCACTATACATTGGATTTGATACCACATAGGTAAACTTTATGACGGTGCATGCATAAGCATAAGTGAGCAGATGTTATCCATTTAAATAAGAAGGTCCTATAAGAAATTCATCAGGTATAGCCCTTTGTTGAGAACTTGGGGAAATAATTGGGTAGTAATAGCCTAGGGTTATAACTCACTTCAAGGAAATAATTATAGAGCTCAATTCCACAATATGTTGTAAATAAGTGAATTTGTGATAGAGTGGCTTCACGAATAATGCATCTCATTCAGAAAGTAAGTACATGGAATGTTTTGTGATTCAGCGTCTTGTTAAGACCATATTTATGTACATATACAACAAGGAAAAAATATGCATGTTCATAATGATGTACTAAGGTGTGACTTACTTGATGACTTTAGGTTGATAGGACAGTACCTTAACTGATGCCCCTTGATTCCATATCCATAACATATATTGGTACCATAGTGACATAACCCCCGAATGACATCTCCTACATTTCAAGCAACTAGTATGAGGTCCGCTAAGCTGACTCGCTCCACTGACCTGATATTTACCCTTTTTGCATAAGTCATAAGAATACCTCTTATCTTTCTTCCAGGCCTTCACATCATGAGTAAAAATCTTTGTAACAGCTTTCTGTACAGGCCTTACGAATTTCCCAAGCTTGCTACCCTTAACAGACTCCTGAGCATACTCACAACACGCCGCAAAATGTTCCTGCCCTCATATCGGGCAGACCGGTCTATTTCACTACCATAACATATTTCAAGATTCATCCAACATGTCCCCAAGTGGCGCTTCTTACAAATATAGCATTCTGGCTTAATGGAACAAACAAACCTCTTTCGTTTCATAGGTGTTTTCACCACATGATCTGGTGGCGTGGTCAGAAAAATGGAGACAAGGACATTTTCTCCTAGCAACTGGTTCTTTCATCCCCTCATCGCTAGCTCGAACTCATGGATTACTCATATGGAAAATGAGACATGACGAGGAAATTAGCTTCCTACCTTGAGCTATAACTCACGATCTGGAGTACCAAAGAAGTGTGAAATTCTCAAATTTTCGAGTAGCCTCCTCATTATAGATGTGGTTGGCAACACACCGATAAGAAGAACTCTACTAGATGTGGCTCCAAGACATCCTAGGACACTTTAAAACCTGGCTCTGATACCAAGTTTGTCATGCCCCGAAATCGAGGAGCGCAACTGGCGCTCAATGGAATGAACCCGGCCGAGCAAGCCTATTCGATTTCCTTTTACCCAAACCCATCCATGAATAAAGTGGAGGTGTACTCCATTAATCAAACATTGAAAATATTTCATTAGCAACTCCCATTTCA